GAAGAGGAGAAATGATGGAACGTTCCAAGATAAGGAGAGAGATCTGTGGGCTGATGATTCATTCATTCATTCATCTATTCATTCATTCATTCATCCATCCATCCATTCATTTATCCATCCATCCATACATCCATCCATCCATCCATCCATTCATTCTTTCATTAATTCATTCATCCATCCATCCATTCAATCAATCATTCATTAATTAATTCATTCATTCATCCATTATTAATTCATCCATCCATTCATTCATTCATTTATTCATTCATTCATCCATTCATTCATTCTTTCAGTCCATCCACTAACTAACCAAGGGCCTGTATAACAGATCCGAGTGTTGTGAGTGATTTGTTGATATTAGAGCCTTCGCACTGTCTGATCCTATTCGTCACCGTGTTCGTATCCGTACGCTCGCTGTACAATAATTAAGATACAAATTATGATAGTTAAGATACCAATTATGGTAATTAAGATACAGGTTATAATAATTATGATACAAATTACGATAATTAAGATACAACTTATGAAAATTATGATACAAATTATGATAATTATGATACAAATTATGTTAGTTAAGATACAAATTATGATAGCTATGATACAAATTATGATCATTATGATACAAATTATGATAATTATGATACAAATTATTATAATTATTATACAAATTATGATAGTTAAGATACAAATTATGATAGCTATGATACAAATTATGATCATTATGATACAAATTATGATAGTTAAGATACAAATTATGATAGTTAAGATACAAATTATGATAGTTAAGATACAAATTATGATAGCTATGATACAAATTATGTTAGTTATAATACAAATTATGATAATTAAGATACAAATCATGAAAATTATGATACAAATTATGAAAATTATGATACAAATTATGTTAGTTAAGATACAAATTATGATAGTTAGGATATAAATTATGATAGTTATAATACAAATTATGATAATTAAGATAAAAATTATGATGATTATAATACAAATTATGATAGTTATGATATAAATTATGATAGCTATGAAACAAATTATGAAAATTATGATTATAATTTATTATTATTATTATTATCATCATCGTTATCATCACCTTCCAGCAAGATCGACCAGGTTTATCTTGCTCGTCCTCTCCATTGGGTTGATTTTGTTTAAACGAGCCTGGAAAAAATGATGATGATG